ACTTATCTATAGGAAAAACGAGTTTGTGTTTAAATACCGTTTCCCTAAAAATAAGACAATGTCTTATATTAATTTTTTCTCCCAAAGTTGCGCTAGGTCTTATTTTCAGGGGATGTCTTATCTTTCCATGCGCTAGGTCTTATTTTCGGAGGATGTCTTATTTTCGGGGAGACACGGTAGTACAATGAGTTGAGTGCCTTTGAACCAGTCATTCCATTTTTTTAGTGTGTTTCCTAATTTAATGGTCTTGCTGCACGTGATTATTTAAAAGCTCAAATGGATATGAAAATGTTGGAAAGTATGTAGGATCTGAGGTGTTATATTCTGTAGGCTTTGAGTTGGTCAAGGTTTCCTGGAGTCTAAAATGCAGTGTGTATCTCTTCCCATGAGAATCGTGTAAGATAAAAAAAACAAAAACAACAAACCTATATTTGAGATAAACATGCTCCCACAGTTAATATCTAAATGAATTCATTTCTGCAATGGTTTCCCTTCCAAATTATTTCCAAAAAAATATTCCTTAAGAGATAAGGTGTTTTTTGTCTGTTTTGTTCTTTTTTTAAAGCAGGCAGCCAGAGGGCAGCCATTTCCTGTTTACCAAATCAGGAACCTCTACACAGGCTGGAATCCTACATAGCCTTCCCTGAGAAGTCTATATTATCTATGGAAATGTAGGGTTGCTCTGTGTGTGAAGTATTGAGGATATCTAAGACTGAACTTCAGCACTAGAGGACAGTAAGAAGGGTTAAAGGGGCAGAAGGATTAACAAGGACTGAGGTGGCCATAGTGATGGGTTTGCTGGTGGGAAGATGTTTCTAGCCCCTTGGCGGGTAAGATTCTGGCCAAAAGCAGATCCAGCCTCCTGTGGGTTTGGCAGGCCATCTGGCCTCCAGTCTGTGGTTGGGGTCAAGGCCTGGAGAGAACTCTGTTATGGCCCAAGGTGGGAAGATGCTGATCCTCATTCAACAGACTGCCAACGCTCTGTGACTGAGCCAACATGACACCTATAGGGGCTCATAAATGATGAATAAATAACAGGAGTGGCTGAACTATTAAGTGACAACAGGAGCATTTGCCAGCTGCCCAGCACCCTTACTGGTGATAAAATAGGTTTGTTTAAACAAGAGGGACATCCATAATTCTACCAGAGGAGCCTCAAGCCAGAGAAACACTGTTTTCTTACTGTTATTGGGATAGTACTGTCCCTGAAGCTACCGTAGGATAGAAAATCACTTGTTTTTTTTCTAGAGCTATTTAAATCTAATAGGCTACAAAATCTTTTGGTTGATATCTTCTATATTTCACAACATGTACACTATAGTATCTGTGATAGTGTAATTAAAATTTGTAGTTTTTAAATCCAAAAAAGGTAGTCCATCAATTCAAAATTTTAAAATATTTAACAGTTATCCATAAACTAGAAATAGTTATTCAATTAGATTGAAATCCTCAGAGAAATCCACTCCATAGCTTTTGGGGATGAGAGGGAATATCTGATCTGCTTTAAGTGAAGACTTGGGGTATACCAGTATGTGTGATTTGGGTGCGGTTGGAGATTTTTAATTTTTTTTTTTTTTAATACTTTCCTACTTCTAGGGGCATGTCAAGTATCATGACCTTCTCCTGGCAGTGACTGTCTAGATAAAACCTTTCTTTAAGATGGGCCTTGTCAAAGTAGCCCTGGTCAAGGGTTGCGGCAAAGAGTGTTCACAGTACAACAATCCATATACAAAATCAGTTTAATGGTCATTTCTGTAAGTAGATTTAAGTAAACAGAAAATAGTTCCAATGTTTCCTTGCCAAGCAATCAAGCAAAACAGTGTCCAACACTATCCGCAGGCTGAGACCTGAGGGCAATGGCTGGGCCCTCTCTGAATAAGACGGGAGTGCCATCTGGAGGGTCTACTTGAAACTACAGCTCAGCAATCATCAAACCTTAAGGTACAATTTGTGAAAAGGTGGGCAACATAAGCAGGAATGTAGGACCTTCATTGCGTGGCCTGAGCTCCTGCTGTTTTTCAAGCTTCCAGTAGAGGATTGAAAATGTTGCGGAATAAAGTACTTTCAGCCGACGTGTGAAATGAAACCCTACTATTGAAAGAGTATCAACCTCAGCTTGCTAATTAAATATACAGGTCAGGAAGGACTTGGCAAGGGAGAAATGGGCAAATGTATCCCCAATCTAGTACGTCCTACCATCCCCTCATCCTACTCTGACTAGGGTCCGATATAAATCCATTAGAATTTTTATTGATAATATATAAAATGACTGATAGTTTTTCAGAGGCATTTACATTTTAATAGGTTGAAAGTATTTGTTTTTTTAAAAAGAGAGAGATAATGAGCAGAATTTCCAGCAGATGCCAATTATTTGAGGGGGTCTGGTGGCGAAAGGCAAGCATCTCTTTCATCAATAATTATTTCTTTTAAACAAACTGTTCCTTACCACACACTCGTGTTAATGAAGATATTTTAAAAGAGTATTTAATCCCTTAAAAGTCTGAGTATTAACGAACAAACAGCTGCATTTTCTATGTTTACATATTACTATCCCCTACACCTTAAGGCTTCTCAAATATCTGTGGTGAAAACAAACAAACAAACAAAAATTCAATCACTTGAGAGACCAACACTTGTGTAAATTAAACTAAGAATTTGATGGCAATATCTACAAGTTTGGTCCATTTTACACTTACCTTGTTACAGACCATTTATAGTGTGCAGGCTGGCACTGCTGTACATTTCGAAATCACTGCCCTACTTCCTGTTTTCTCTTTTTTAGAAAGACCTGCATTTGGCCTCGAGATCTCGGCCACCATGACCACCAGTTACATTCAAGAGCTTGACTTACTTCTTCCTTCCAACTTTTAAAAAAACATGGCCTTTGAATCCATGCTAATGAACATTTCAAGCACTTGCTAGTCCCCATTTTAAACTGACCCTCTACTTATAATGTGTTTGCACAACTCCCCTGTGCCCCTGCTTAGTCCAACCCCATTCAGTTTGCTTACTTTATTTGTGGTGAATCTGGCCTAGACACCAGAAATTCGTGTAAGACACTTGGGTAGCACAGAAGTCCACATATTATTTGGGGATTAATAGAGGCACCCAGCTAGAAAATCGACCTAGCTGACAAGACATACATTTTCTTGATATAAAGATTATAGGAAAGCTTCAAGTTGAATATTTTTCTTCCTCCTCCTCCTCCTCTTCTTCTTCTTCTTCCTCTTCTTCTTCTTCTTCTTCTTCTTCTTCTTCTTCTTCTTCTTCTTCTTCTTCTTCTTCTTCTTCTTCTTCTTCTTCTTCTTTTTTTTTTTGCCAAAATAAACAGGGTGAAAGAGTCTTTTGATTGGTAAACAATCCTTCACCCACTGGTTGAAAAGCAACAAATTCTTTCCTTTATATCCCAGTAATCCCAAACTGCAAATTTCACATGGCCATATATTAAGGAGTGTTCATACATTTCCATTTATAAGGCACAAACCCACACATCTCTCAGAGAAAGAAAGAAAACAAAGATTTGAAGACGACGAGATAATCTGGTAATACAAGAGGTTTGTCAAAGTGGAGTGAAAACAAACCACTTCTCTTTTCAGTAAATAGCAACCTTATACTGATAGGAAACGCAGCCTCCCGAGGATCCTCTCTCTACGCGGCCTCTTTCACCGGACTAAAGCGAAGTTGGTCCTCAGGAGGCTGCATGGCCAGAACACATTGATGGCAAGTACCACTTATCCCCTAGAAGCTGCTGGGCAGTGATGTCTGAAATAGGACATTCTAGCTATAGGGTGCCCAACTCACCATTCATACTCAAGAGAGTCCCTGAGGACCAAGCCACAGAGCGCACACACACTTCCTGTCCCTGGGCTTGACTATTTTAAGGGTTTAGCTCTCAGCTGATACTAAATTCCTGTCTGAGGACCCTGAACTGGGCTAGTTATATGGTTCCTTTGTGGTGTGGCATGTATTTAAAAGGCTGGACCTTGGGTTCTTTTTGAAATAATTAGAACCAATCCATTCTACCAGGGGCTCAGAACCAATTCATTCTGCCACGCTGGCCAAAATCTGGAGAAGACTCCCTGAAGCAAGCCCCAAATCTTCTGGCCTGTCAGGCAGCAGTAATAGACCTCAAGTAATCCTCCAGTCCACAGGTATAAAACAGTTTCCTATACCAAACAGTATCCAAGCTTATTGGCTGTGCCTCCTGGTGGCTCTTGGCACTGTACTATCTAGTACCGTTTGCATTAGTATTATATGAGAATAAGCTTCCTGGATATCACATGGATCCACGCAACTACTTCACAGTCCTGTCTATTACCAAGATCTGAAGGGAGTGAACAGCACTTTAGAGGAAATAGCCAGAGATTTGTCATCCTGAGAAAAGGGTCAGAGTTAGAGTGGGTGAGAGAGGAGCTATCAGAAATCAGATGAACTAAATAATTCATTGTCTGAGGTTTCACTGAATCTTGAAGAGTCTGAATTCTCCACCTTGGACAATCTGAAACCCAAAGGAATATGGGTTCTTGGGTCAATTTATTCAATTACCAAAGACCAGCATAGTAGGATGGTTGGTCCAATATGGTGTGGACCAGCCACCTCCTTGTTTTCCAGTTCAAGTTTATCCTCCCTCCAGCTCCAGGACTTGCCCCTGGAGGCCTTGGTCAGAATTTTACTGAATTTTCAGGTATGAAGAAGGTCCTTAATTCAGGGCCCCATGAATTCTCAGCCAAGGTCCCTTCCTTTCCTGTGTCTTGAAAGGCTATGACCTAGACGGAAAAGGGACACTCCTTTTATTAACAACTATAACATCATAACTCTTGAATCCTTTGGCTTCCCAAAGCCACAGCCATAGCATATCCTTGGTTATATGTATCAATGTCCAAGCCATCAATACACATTACAACTCCTAAAAAACAAAAAGTCAGCTCCTGTGATTTTTTGTATCACATTTCCCCCAAATCGCAGTGGGGTGCCTCCGAAGCCTGCCCACCCTGCCAGCCTCAGGACTCTTTCTTCATCAGTCTGGCCTTGACTTTGCGCCTCAGGAGGGCGGCCGTGGCGGTGCTGCAGGCGGTCAACAGGAAGAAGGACAGGCAGGCCATGTAGACAGACAGGGGGCTGTGGCGCTGCAGGAAGATCTCCTGCCGCCCCTGGTAGTCCAGGAGGATGGCCTCCAGCTGGGAAAGCGTGCAGATGGACAGAAACACGTGGAAGAGCTGGTGCCCGTGGCCCACAATGTCGCAGGAGCCGGGGAAGTACTTCTCGGGGACCGGGCAGGAGAAGAAGTAGGCGCTGACCAGGAAGAACAGGATCTGGAGGGTGTGGTACCAGGCGGCCTGCTCCTGGCAGCCCGCCAGGTGGCACAGGGCTACACGGTGGGCCACGGGGCTGATGTCCAGAATGAAGGCCAGCCCCGAGGGCACCACCTGACACACCTTCTTCATGATCGGGTAAGGCTTCTGGTAGCGATACTTGGCATAGCAGCAGCCGGCGCAAGACAGCCAGCCACAGAAGGCGGCTGCCGGCAGGAAGAAGAGCCAGAAGTGCTCGTACCAGGCCTGGTCGGAGGTGTAGAAGAAGTGGACCAGGGCGCTGCCGTACTGGTAGATGCTCACCCCGACGTAGTCCACGAAGTAGAACGTATAGTGGGAGAGCTCCGACTGGGACTGCAGCAGGTGGGCCAGCACGCTGAACAGGAGGTACGTGATGGAGGACAGGACGTAGAGGAGCAGGGGCAGGGTGCTGGCCGAGGCCCAGGGCAAGGCCTCGGCCTCGGCAAAGGCCCAGAATCGCAAGAGGACGGCCAGGGCCGCCAGCAGGTGGGTCCAGACGTTGACCACCTCGTTGTGTTTCTGGAAGAGGCTGAGGAAGTAGTAGCGCCACCTGTGGCCCGTGGGGCGGTAGCCTGTGTGGATGTACGGTTCCCGGAACAGCTGGGGCACATCTGTCTCGGGGACTGTGCAAGGCATCTTGGGAAGCCCATTCTCCAGGATCTTGGGCAGGCGGCGCAGCTGCTGCCCGCTGACCGACAGGGTGCTCAGGTGCTCCAGGATGGCCGTCGTCATGGCTGCCTGGCACGGCAGGGCGGGGGGTGCAGCCTAGAGACAAGAAAGGGACATCAGCAAAAATGCAGCGAGAGAGGGACGGAGCTAAGGGAGCAAAGCAACTACTATGGGTGTTCCTAACGAATCACAACTTTCTAGCGCAATACGGAGGCAGAAAGCTGCAGGCAGCTCTTTGAGCCTTTCTTCTTCTCTTAAATTTTAATTAATTAATATATTTTTATTGATTTTTTTTTTTTTTACAGAGAGGAAGGGAGAGGGATAGAGAATTAGAAACATCAATGAGAGAGGAACATCAATCAGCTGCCTCCTGCACACCCCCTACCCGGGATGTGCCTGCAACCAATGTTTACATGCCCTTGAACGGAATCAAACCTGGGACCTTTCAGTCTGCAGGCTGACGCTCTATCCACTGAGCCAAACCGGATTCAGCTAATTATTTATTTTTTAATCCTCACCTGAGAATATTTTTTTTTTCATTGATTTTAGTGGAAGAGAGAGAAAAATACCAATGTGAGAGAAACATGTGGATTGGTTGCCTTCTGCACAGCCTGGGCAGGGGGAGGAGCCTGCAGCCTGAGGTACATGCCCATAACCAGACCCTTCCTCTGCAGGCTGAGAATCTATCCACTGAGCAAACTAGCCAGGGCCTTTTTTCTTCTTGACAGAGTTGGACCAAGCTCCCTTACTCCCCGACATTCTAATTTTACCTCTACTACCCACCACATGGTGTAAGGCCAAGACACAGCTTATAAAATGCTATGGAATGTTAGCCACCCTGTTCTAATGATATTTAGAAAGTAAGGGTCACTTTCAAGGCTTTGGAGTTTTCTAGATGCCATTAAAATGTAATCATCAGAGACAGGCTCTACTAGTGTGAACCATTATATTAAAATATAAGAATTACAAATATTGATATTACTAATGATAGCCTACATTTCTTGAGCAACTAATCTTAAAATAGTCACTGATTGCACTGGTCACTTGAAAATCTGAGGTAAGCAATAGTAACTTGATCTCAAAGTAAAGACAAACACACGAACCATCAATTAGGTTGGTAAAAACCCGTGTATATTCTGGGAAATATTTGACAAGTGAAACAAATTTAACGTGTGGCCTAAATTTGCAAGCCTCTACAAGTGATCCCTGAACTGAGTCTTGAAGGAAAATTGCCAAGACTGCTTGTTGTTTTTAAGTTATTTTTCTGGAAAGGAGCTAGATTCGGGTTTGTCTCTCCTGGATACCTAAATCTCTGCTCAATGAATTTTAGGTCCCCCAAATGTTGAATTTACATTTGAAATTTCTGTTGACAGATGAGACAGCTAAGCATGGCAATTATTTCATAAAATAGCTACAAAGTTCCAAGTGAAGTTACTGAGTCAAGAAATGGATTTTTAGCATGTCTACAGTTACCTTCTGTAATTCATACTTCCCAAACCCTTTGTTCTCAGAAAAGGGCAAAACCTTCCTCCAGAACCCTTCGCTGGGAGAGATACAGCAGGTGCTCCTCAGGGCACTACTAACTGTAGTGAAGAAAGTGTCATCTTCCTACTCACGCACCTTAATCAACATTGAAAAAGAAAAAAAAAATCTAAATGGTCTAAAATGTAGGACATGGAAATGAATAAAATGTGAAAGAAGTTCAGGGAGACGTGGGGTCAAGCCCCCTGGCTTTTGGCCACTTACTGGGTAACCTTGGCAAGATACAGAGCTCACTAAGTTTCAGTTTCCTCATTTGCAAAGCGTGAGGAGTCATTTTTCGCATCATATGGATGGTTGGGATGGCTAAACGAGAGAATTTAACACATACAGTGCGTAGCTCCCTGCCTGGCCCAACATGAGGGCTCAGTAAATGCTAAGTACTGCTGTGATTTGTATTACCATGAGCGGGGCTTTGTGTTAGGGACACAAATACTATAAAGCTCTGCTGCCCGCTTTTCAAGGTCACAGTCTACTGAGGCAGATGAGTAGGGATGTTATGACCAAAACATGGATGCATGCTCCAAGGAGGCCAGCACTGGTTCACGGTGTCTCTACAAACATAAGCAAAATAGACAGTAGGCCAGGGAGGGGTGTGCCAGCCTCTACAAGTGACCCCTGAACTGAGTCTTGAAGGAAAATCAGAATTCCCTAGAGAAGATGAGGGGGAAAGAGAGCTGTAGGCAGAGAGCAAGGTCAAAGCACTTATGCCAAAATAAGGACCTGTGCAGCCTGTTTGTAGAGCAGCCGAGGAGGTGGCGCGCGTGTGGTCTGAAGTAGGACATCGGCAGCAGAGACCTAAGCCCCAGCCTCCACCAGGACAAGCCGTGAGCTCCAGCCTGGGCTCTGTCAGCTGAGAAGCCGAGTCACTGATAAAGAGAAGCTGCCTCACAGGCTGATGTAAAGACTATTATGACGTAATGCCTGTAAAGTGTTTTAACAGAGTGCTTGGTTCCAAGTCCACAAAAACATCTGCCATTATTACGACTATCTCCAGTGGGAGAAGCGGGGGCAGTTCATGAGTGGACGACCTAATGCCTCCTCTGTGCCTTGTACCTCCTTGTACGGTGGCCCTGTAACCTGGGACTGAGTCATTTCTTTAGCTGGAACTGGCCAGTGGGTCCCTACCAGGACCGGTCCATCAACTAGTGTTCGATATAAAAATTAAAGAACCTTATTAAGAATCAAGAGTGTCAGTCAGAAAGACAGATAAGGGTGGGAGAGAGAAAACTGTCATCAGAATACCTGAATTTATTCAAAACGAGCAAAACAAGAAAAAGCTAAGCCAGTGAGCAGAGGGATTGAGAATCTGGAGGTTAATAGTTGGGAGATTCCAACTGACCAGGGTGGCAGTTGGTGACAGAGTACAGCAGGGGTAAAGGAGGGGGACACCAGAAGGGGGAACAGGTCGGGTACACTGTGGGGTTGGGCCCGGGACATGGGGCATTTCAAACTATCCTGATGCTGGTGACTGAGAAGCATGTCATCTGGGGGCAGTGGGCTTGTTGGAGCTCTAGGGGATTAAAGAGCTCTACTCTTTTCTTTTTTTAAATATATTTTATTGATTTTTTTTACAGAGAGGAAGAGAAAGGGACAGAGTCAGAAACATGGACGAAAGAGAACCATCGACCAGCTGCCTCCTGCACAGCCCCCACTGGGACGTGCCCACAACCAAGGCACATGCCCCTAACAGGAATCGAACCTGGGACCCTTCAGTCCACAGGCCGACACTCTATCCACTGAGAAAAACCGGCTTCAGCAAAGAGCTCTACTCTTTAGATACAAACATAGAGGGAAATCAGATGAAAATGTCGTTTTGATTTTGTGGCTGGGATATGAGCTGTCAGTCTCACTGAAGATGCTCCGCGGCACGCCCACCTGCATTGATCAAGCGAGTTCCCATCATCTCTGGGCACCCAATGCAATCGCAGGCCATTCTGCTTCCAGAGTTGAATAATACATGACTGCACCATTTCTGCTCATCTTTGCATTCTCGAAAATAGGATGCCTGGCACAATAGCAAGCTTTTATAAACTGATAATGCAACTGAATTTCTAAAGATTAAAACCTTAGGTCTCAGTTGTCTATTGGTTGGAACTAAGTCCAGTTCAGACCCGGGAGCCAACTGGCATCTATTTGTTCTGAGGATGCTGCTTTAATGGCAATTTCCAGAAAACCCCGTCTGACCCCGAGTTCCTCCAGCCCTCATCTCACCAAACTAGCCTCATGGCTTTATGTTGGCAAATTCTTATCATGAAATTATTGCCACTTCTCTCTCACTTACGGAAACTGAACTAGGAAGAGGTTTATAGAACTAAGAAACAGAGAAGTGTAAGACCAAAAGGTTGTTCACTTTATCTTCAAAGAAAAGGGTGCACAGAAAGAAAAAAAAAGAAAAAGAAAAAGGCAGAATCTTCATTTCCCTGGCAAATGAGGCCTCCTTTCGCAAGGATCCTTAGAATGCAGCCACTCCAGTCTCAGGGGCTCCTTAACTCCACCCTCTGGAGTGTGTAACCCAACACTCATCACAAATTCCAGGAACCTGACCTCCATGGCCTCCAACTCAGGACACCATGTCTTATTTCCCTCAGCAATGACGTGAAAACAAGATCTAGGTCCTCTATCTGTGGTGACAAGGACCTCAATTTCCCTTTGGAAGTCCAAGGTCATAAAAAATTCTAAACTAATGATTGGAAATAGTGGGAATTAATTTTTAATCTTTTGCTTAACAATTACCACTTCCATAGCCATAAAATTCTCCCTTTGTGTGAGAGCAGCCACCACTGCCACAGTGATAAGTTATAATTCTTTACCATCATTAACTTCAGAAGCCACTGTCCAGTGGGGTCCGGCCACCTCCCTAGACAGGCCTTACTTTCAGATAGGCTTCAAAGGGCCAGCTGTAAAGTTTGGGAGCCTGTTTTGGAGGAAGCACCTATTGGCATCATGATGTTGGTGCAGAAACACACTTTTCAGCCTTCCCATTGCCAGCCCCGAGTAAGGACCCCTCCCTCATTCCTGACCTCTGTCCCCATGCAACCTCGCCAAGCTCATGTAGTCATCAGTCAACTAAGATGCTCCCTTAGCATGGTCTCCCTTGCACAGGGTGCACACCAGCTCCTCTGCTGAGACAGCTGACATGTAGATCTTCCTGAAGAGGCCCCAGCATATTTCTCTCCTGGGCTCCCGATCACAGGTTCATTCTGCTCACTTCCCTAGTTCCTTCAGGAGCAGGGACTGCATGGTGCACAACTTCCCCTGTCTAAAATCATCACACACCTTGCCCAGCCAGTGTGGCTGAGCATCGACCCATGCACCAAGAGGCACATGCCCGGGTTGTGGGCTCAATCTCTGGTGGAGGCATGCAGGAAGCAGCCAATTGATGTTTCTCTCTCATCAATCTTTCAATCTTGCTCTCCCTTCCTCTTTTTTTAAAATTGATTTAAAAATTTAAATAATCATATACTCGATAATCATTTACTGAATGGATAAATTCTTTAGGTCCAGACATATGGCACCAATTT